ATAAATGATGCAAAGTTTTCATAGTATCATTCTTTATTTTTTCAAGAGATGGTGATTTGAACCATTGAACAGCATTATATATGTCCTTTTTATTAATATACTTATCAGGATGTTTCGCTCATAGAATATTATATTGCATTTTAGCACTTATGCCTACAGTATGACAAGTATAAAACTTTATATCTTCAAGCATTTCTTCTAACAATCTGCGAAAGTGTGGTGCTGTTTGATCGATGATGGGATCCATTTCATGGTTATGTTTGTCAACAAGTGACATACAAGTGATCTCAGTAGTACCCTTATGATTGTTGAAATTTATATGCTACTCACAATCTATTGCAGTAGAATGGCATTCACGCTGCTTAGTAATGTCAACTATTTTTTTAGCATTATGTACACATGATTTGGAACATTCATAACTACGACGATGAATGCCTGAATTGTCTGAGTGAAAGTCGGTCCTATCTCGCCGAAAAGAAAAGCCTTTGAACTTTTCATATGATTCTAAAAATTTGTCCACTTCCTCTCACATATCAAATGTAAGACTGATATGTAATTGCAACTGCGACTTTTCACCATTAAGATCATCTTGAGAACTGCTAAGATTAATTCATCATTACATACCATGTGAATAAAATATGCAACCAGAAAATTTTACTCACTTTGTCTCATTTTTTTTCTCATTTTCTGAGTTAAAGAATTGAGATTCATCAACCTCTAATATCAAATCAACTGCATCATTTTCTGGGCTAATATTTAATAAACCAATGTGATGTTATTGTCTATTAATAAAGCAATCAGTTAGAAATTAATACAATGCAACACCAAATTTATTATCAACCTCTGAAAACTTCGTATTGTAGAATTAAAAGGTGTCGTCACGCAGTACAAATCAATAGCTACATTTTCTGAGCTAAAGAGATGAGAGTAATCAGTATTAATAAGCACCAACAATTAATAGACAAACATATTGGTTACTAACATTAATAACCAGTTAGAAATTAACATGTGGCCACCAAATTTATTACCAACCTTTGAGTAGAATTAAAAAGCGTTGTTGTATTGTATAAATTATTAGCTTTATTTCCTAGGCTAAAAACATGAGAGTAATCAATATTTAGTAATTAACTTGTCACAAAAGTCATCGCAAAATTTATTACTAACCTTTGTATTATAGAATTAAAAGGCATTATTGTGTTGTATAAATCAACAGATTTATTTTCTAGACTAAAAACGTGGGAGTAATCAATATTAGTACACATTGATTTTTAATAAACAACTTATAATTACTAACTTCCTAGAGTTTTGATTCTGTGCGAAACTTGAACGGGCCTCGGATTCTACAATAGAGCTACATAATATTATTTATTAATAAAGCAGTTAACTAATCAGTAAAAATTAACTTGACAGCTGTCAAACTTATTACTAACTTCTGAGAACTTTGTATTATAGAGTTAAATGGCGTCATCACGTAGTAAATTGGTTTAAAGTTATTATTTTCCATTAAATTCGTTATATTTATTCACTTGCATTTCATGAGAAAATCAACAATCTATTTTAAAGAGCGAAAAAAATTGATATTGTTTGATCATACTTTTTTATTTATTTATTTACTGATCGAACAAACAATGTACACATGTACATACATGTCTGTACCCTGCATTAATAATTTCTTTGCAATCAGAGGTTACTTTTTATTGTGTAACTATAATTTACATATCAACAGGTGATTATTACCTAAAGTGAATATTATATTATTTCAAATATAAAATATAAAAGTGAATTAATATTATTCTAAACAACTTTAGTTAAAGCTAAATATTAATTAATTTAGTAAAATTTTAATTTTGATATATAGTAATAATTATTAATTATATTTTTAATAAAGAATATATTAAATTAATACCAGGGGATATTGATATCTGGGTGCTATATCTCAAAAAACTGACTAAAAAACAGGGTCAGGCATACTAAGTAAAAATGTTCGGAACCCACAAAACCTTTGTGTAATCTAATTTGAACTATAATATCTGCTTTTATTTTGGCGTAAAACTGCACCTAACCCTAAATTTTAATAAAAACTATTATATCTCAAAAACTAAGAAACAGGGTCAGGTGTACTAAGTAAAAATGTTCGGAACCCCCAAAACCTTGTGTAATTTAAAATTTGAACTATTATATCTGACCCCTATTTTAGTATTAAACTGCATTCTAACTCTAAATTTTAGCAAAAAACCATTTTTTAAATATAAAATCTCAAAAAATAAATTTTTTTAGTGGGTATTTTTTAGGGCTAGGGGTTAGAATTAGGGGTTAGAATTAGAGTAAAATATATTAAACAAGAATAAGTGGGTTTTAGAAGGTTAGAAGGTTAAATAGAAAATGTAGATTTCATTTTAAATTATGATCTGCGACAATAACCACTGGTATAAATATGATTTTTCTTTAATAAATTTAATTTTATAGGGTTTGAACCCTGTAGCTTATTGATTAAACTTCCACAAGGCTGATGATTTGAATCTATCTGGAGATATAAAATTTGTGATTTTAATCCTCTGTGAGCCAAATGATAGGAGTACTATTTCGGACATGAAGCTCTGTAGAACATCCAAGTACAAGTATGGTTCTGAAATAGGAATTCTCAGATCATGAAGTGTTGTCACTACATATGATAGTATTATAAAAGTTCTAGGCTGAAACTCTCTCTCTTTCTCCACTATTTTTAGTGGAGAGTTTAGAAAAAACACAACGACAAGCAAAACTACACGCTCAACTCTCAAATTAATAACAAGGGCCAAACCCCTTGTTCCCAGAAAATGAAAGCAAGTGTGCTCAAGCATGTCAAGCTCCACAGCAACAGTACAGAACAGGAAAATTAAAAAGGCCAGAACTTCAAACGTGATAGAAAACAATGCTCTTCCAGATCCAAAAGAGCCTAAGGAAGCCTTGGACCTTGCTGAGACAAGTCAACACAT